GCCCAGACCTGAAATAACCACACAGAAACTGTATTATTTAAAACACCGCTCAGCCTACTAGCTTATCCATATTTATAGCTGGCTCTGATATCTTAAGTTGACCCATTTATATTAATCTGTGTATCGCCATGTGGTTGACCAGTAAAGTTCCATTCAGCATCTGTCTCCCGTGTCTGTCTTCTGTAGCAGCTCCATGGCGTCTCACTGATTCCACCTTTTTTTCTCCCAGAATTCAGTTTAGTTTTCCATGCTTAGTGCTACTCTGCCCTATCATATGCTGAAGTAGCCTTTTTATTAACCAATGATATACAGAGGGGAATCACATCACCTCCCCTTTTCTGTCTAAATTAAAAAGGAAAGTTTTAACTTTAACATAGTAAAATTACATATAACAAAACAGGTATCAAGCAAGAATTACAGTTACAATATTTATATCTACTTTATCTTTTATTATAACAAGGAAAACTATAACTATCTATTCTTCAACTTCATCAAAGACTCCAGAAGGATATAATATTACCTAAGTAAACAGGAAGTACATTCTAAGCAACTTCCAAAACTCTAGAATTGACAGAGACATCTCACTGCCTAGGCAGTCATTCAATCTTTTTCTGTAACACTGGGGCATCCAATCTTCATCTACAGGTCCACAGTATCCAGCAGACTTTTCCATGAAAAAGGAAATTTCAAAGACAGTTTCGCCTATATTGGCAGTCTGTCAGTCACTTTCTCCTGTGTGCTGCAGAACGCCTGATCTGGCAGACTCTTTCATGAAGCAGGAACCCTGAAGGACTGTCTCAACTTCTTTAGACAACTTCATCAGTCATTTTTCTGTGGGTCCTGCATGTCCAGTTCATACAGCATAACATCAAGCAGTCCAGGCAAGAACAGTTTCCTTCCCAAGTGGCTATTAAACTCAATAAGGAGCCTATTCGATGTCCATCATCCTCTTGAAATAGATCAGTACTGACAGGAGCAGATGTGTCTCATTGTCATGAAAAGTCCTAAGTTCTTAAAACATTTTAAATGACATATTCCATAGGTCTTTGAAAGATTTGAAAATTACCTAACTGAAATATATCTCTATATATCTAGAAAAGCTAACAAACATGACAACAAGCTTGATTGTTATAGATGACTATCTATTACATTTCTTAATTATACATTACATTTTTAAATGAGCTGCACAAACACACTACCTTAATCAAGAGCAGAAATATATATATATACATATGTATAAACATATATATAAAACATAATTGATCTTACATTTGTATCAATAAACCAAGATCCATACCAAAGCAAAGTATCCATCTCTATAGCATATCACCCTTTAAATGTAAACAAACATTTATAAACAGTATTTAGAAATTTCGGTGTAGTTCTCTTCAAACTGCTTCCTGCTTTTTGCTGGGTGAAGTATTTTCTTTTTGGGGGTTCATAAAAATCTTTCAGGTAGTCATGGTCCAACAAACCACATTAGCCTGGGAGGAATCCACAGGTTCTCATCCTCTGTGGAAACAAAAGTAGAACCTCTTTTCCAAAGCAATATATTATTAGACTTAAATTTTAAAGTCAAGATACCTTTAAAATATTTATGTTGGTTTTGCTTAACAGCCCATACAATGAAATATCTTTCTGTACTTAGTTCATTCACAGTCAAAATATTCCAAAATATTCAAAGAAAACACAATAATACTAATAATCTCTGTGTATTTTCTATCTTTATGTGCCTTATTTTTCTTTACTCCTTTAATCTATGCTGTCTGTACTCTTTTTTTTTATTACTTTCACTGTCTCTTTAAAGACTTTGTTTTATTGTTTTAAAATGATAAACTTTTAAAAAACTCTCTATACTCTTTTCTTCTCTCAGGCCTATGTACATTTTTAAAACACACTGTGCCTTATTTAGAGGTCTTTTATGTCTGAATCTGCCCTACTGTGTATCTGAAATCCTTTTTTGTCCAGAGCTGTTTCTTAAAATGCTTGCTAAGCGGCCAGGCTAGAACTAAGGGTGCTTTACCTTTTGGCTCTGTCCAGTCTAATATGGCAGAGGTCCACTCAGTGTAAGCCATGCTCACAGCACTATTTTCTGGCACATAGCAAGTCTATGTTGCCAATAAGCAAGTTGTAGCACTCTGCTCACAAAAACCCATTCAATTGTTCCATAACTGGACCTCCCCAGAGAGTTAAAGCCATTTGTCCTGGTGAACCACGAAGCTACTGCACATTTTTTTTTTCAGCTAATGCTAAATCAGGAAGACCTCTCTTAAAGGAGCCATGGTGCCCTGCTCATAGCCAGCTATCAGAGCCCATCAGGAAAAAAAAATGTTGGGCACCAAGAAGCTGTTTTTAACTCTATTCTTTTTTGTCTAGAATTCCTTTTCAAGCTTTTTCAAGTTTTACGTGGATGGTATCAGTCCTACGTTGGACTAATCTGTCCTAGCACACTAATCTGTTGGTGGAGACTGTACTGTTTGTTTGTTCTTGGCTGCCCAGAACCAAAATAACTACACAGAAACTGTATTATACCAAACACTGCTCAGTCTATTTGCTTATGCATATTTCTAGCTCTGATATCTTAAATTAACCCATTTCTATTAACCTATGTATTGCCATGTGGTTGTGGCCTACTGGTAAGGTTCTGTCCTGCATCTGTCTCCTATGTCTGTCTCCTGCAGCATCTCTATGGTGTCTCACTGATTTTGCCTTCTTTCTTCCAGAATTCAGTTTAGTTTTCCCTGCCTAGCTCTCTTCTGCCATTTTATAGGCCAAAGCAGCTTTTTTATTTTTTAATTAACCAATAGTGTACACAGGGGAATCTCAAATCACAACAGTAGCAAAATGACAGTTATGAAGCAGCAACAAAATAAGTTTATGGTTAGGGGTCTGCACAACATGAGGAACTGTATTAAAGGGTTGCAGCATTAGGAAGGTTAAAAACCACTGTCATAGAATCTTTCTGGCTGATCACCTCCATTTCTGGTCATTGATTTGCCAGTGCTTTGTGGATCTTCCTACTCCCTTGAGGATGAATCAATTCATTTATTCGTTCACTGAGAGAATGTTTTCCCACATTTTTATAAAGAGCTTTGGCTCTGAAAGAATTATTTATTATAGCTGCAGTTTAACCTGAAGGAAAACCAGAAAAAGAATGTAAACTAGAATAAGAAACCAAATTTTCAATTCACAGGGATATTAATGGAATATGGTTAGAAAATTTCCTAGAATGAAATAATCGCATTGCTCTTCAACCCTTGCCATTAATATGGTTTGTCAAAATACCAAATTAAATCCATTAAAACATTCTATATTCGTTCAGTTAAATGTTTTCTTTAAAGTTAAGTAAAAGTAAAAACTCTACTCAAAGTAATAAATATTGGAGTACTTCCTATTTGTGAGACACCACAGTGAGGCCTGGAAATGAGCAAAATCTCTGAGGCTATTGTCTTTTTGGATTTCATGGTTGTTACACAGACAGAAATCCAGTATCTGTGAAAGACACCAAGTTCTTACACTCATGTTTTACCTGCATTCAATCCCTGAGGTGCTCAACAGCATTGATTAAACTCAGGCATCAATGCAACCAATATTTACTGTATGCTTATTTTAGGTCTAGAGCAGATATACACCAGTGGGCAACACCCCTCCTGAAAAAATGCCTTCCTTGAGTATTCTAGTGAGAAACAAGAACAAGTCACTATGTAAATTCTGTGTACCAAATATTATGGAGAAGAAAAAGACAGGAATAGCATGAGAAATGTGGCTTGGTTATGTTATAGTCTCAAGCAAGGCTGTTAGGAGAGGTCTGAGCAAAGTAACTAAGAGGATCATATAAGAGAAAGCTACAAGCAAATGTTCGTCAGGAGCGGTTGGGAGTGTGCCTGGCCTTTTCAAGATAAATAAAGAACCCCAAGGCCAATATGACCGGAACTGACAAACTAGGGAATGAATAAACAGAACATTTAAATTCTCAGAGGTAGAGAGACTTTGGGTTTTACACGAATGGAATGCCATTCAGGATCTGTCAAGGAGAGGAATGACACTATCTAACTTACACCTAGGTAGACCATAACTGAAGTTCAACGTGGTCAGAGGCAGGAACACAGATAAGGAAGCTATCCAGTAAAGATGATTATGGTACAGGATGCGGTGGAAATAATGTTTGAGTTCTACATGACTTTTGTGGTGGAGCCATTAGGATTTGCTGGAGGATTAAAAATATAATGGGAATGAAAAAATAAGGAGTTATTGGCTCCAGAAAAGTTAAAATTTTCTTATCATCTCTACACAAGCTAGGACTTGTGGAAGTCTAGATTCCTGGTATTCATCTCACACTATTTAATAAGAACTCCCATTGTCGTGGCGGTGGAAATACACTTAAAACACTTCTCGTGATTCTTCCACAGCCTGCTTGACCTGCCTGCACTAACTAGGGCTCCGTTGTGTTAGTTACCCGGGAGAAGCTATGTTTGTAGTAGTTTGCACTGTGTCAAGGGGGTGGGCTGTTGGAGGGGGCGATGAATGCAGTTTGATCCTTACCTCGCTCCCAGGAAAACGCCCAGAAGCCTCCAACGGTTTGGATTAACCAAGGAAAGCTTTTTGGAGGAGACGGATTTTGATGAAGTGTTTTTCAAAGCTTTAATAAGAAAGAGGAACGGAAACGACGGTGAGTTAGCTCTGAAAGTTAAAACAACGTACTCACTCAAGACTTTGAACTTAATAGCGTCACTCTAGGGACTCTATCAAGAAATTGCAGTGACTACTCAAAAGCCACGCCTCTAGCAGAGAGGGACAGGGCGCTTTTCTGTGGGCACCAAAATTCGGGCTTCCGGAAGGACATGCTTCGATGAGGGACCAAACCGGATGAAGGTCGCGCGTCTTTTTCCGCTGCTGCAGGTGACTTCCCAAAGGGGCAGAGCCGGGGGACCGTTCTGCGCAGGCGCGGCAGGTCGAGCGGGCGCGGCGCGATGCCGGGCAGGCACGTTTCTCGAGTCCGAGTCTTGTATAAGCGGATCTTGCAGCTCCACCGGGCTCTGCCCCCGGACCTCAAAGCCTTGGGCGATCAGTACGTGAAGGACGAGTTTAGGAGACATAAGACTGTTGGTTCTGGCGAGGCCCAGCGCTTCTTGCAGGAATGGGAGGCAAGTGATGCCCCCTCCCCGCCCCCTTAACCCAGACTCCTGGGCTTCCTCTGTGGTATTCAGTTCAAAGACCGGCTTCCTAACAGCTCCCGGTGTCCGTGCACGGCCGAACAGGGTGTTTGAATTAAACAGCCTAAAACTGGTCAAGCAGCGCTTCCCCCAAGTCCGTCGCGAACCCACAGGCTCTCTGCTTGGCCACGTGCAGTTCCCCCGGTGTTCAGGTCAACTCTGAGAGTCTGAGGTTACCAGGTGTTGATGAAGGTGGGGTGTCTCAGAATTTACTACAGCACCCACTGTCAAGCACTCCAAGTTCGCCGGCTGCTGTCCTTTTGGTTTGTGCGTGACAGCCCGTGCAATGTACTTCATGCCTTTACTTAGCTTTCAGACTAAAGAGGCTTGTTTCTACCGTTTGTTAATTTGTAATTTTAGGGCCTTAGTAAGTTTATTACTTGACAGGTCAATTAGATAAACATAGAAAGACTTAAAGATTACACTTGGGGAAGGGGAAAATGCTGGCGGGAGTTAACATTTTTAAAGAGAGAAATTTAGAATTTTCTTAAAAGTCTTGGCTTATTAGATGTAATTTGGTTTTCTGGCCCTGGGGAGGTTTAATCTTTTTAAATGCAAAGCACTTTCTTTACATATGTATTTAGTCTTCGAGTCAGAAAACCTAGTTTTAAATTCAGGCCTCAACATTTAGTAAATGTTACACGAATTAATTTTTCTATTCCTCCAGTCTTGTGTGTGAAATAACAGTGTCACAGTAAGCATCTCAGCTAGTTTATTTATTATTTCATTATTCACAGGTTTCTCTGTGTAGCCCTGGTTGGCCTGAAACTTGCTTTGTAGAGCAGACTGGCCTGGAACTCAGAGATTGCCTCTGCCTCCTGAGTGGTGGGATTAAAGACATTCACCACTATGCTGTGCTAGTATATTGAAGCTATAATATATTAAGGTGTTTGTATCTTTGAGTTACTTTGAGGCCAGACAAGAAGACTATCTGTGTTGAGAAGAAAGGAGTCTCCATGGAGAAGTCCAAAAGTTTAAGAACTTGGAATGTTTAAGGAAAATGTAGGAAACAGTAGTACTTAGAAAAAGTTGACAAAAAGCTGAAGGAAAGTGTACAAGATAACTGGGAAAATGTGTTCATCATCATAGGAGGCTTGATGGCAGCAATTTCATTGTTTTATTTAAATAAAATATTCAAAAACATTTTAAAGTAGTTTAGACTCACATATATAACCAAGACATTAATCAAAATATAGAAATTAACATTGCTGGGGAACTCTTAACTGCAGGGCTTACTCACAGTGTACCATGGCTTTCAAAAATACCCCTACTCTGTTTCAGGGTCGGGACTGGATTCCACTCTGCATTTAGGCATTTTTTTCCCCTCTTTAATCTGCTGTAGCTTGTTGCCAACTGTTCCGTGTTTCCTCATTTGACACGTTTTTGAAAAATACTTTGCTGTTACTTAGAGGAATGTATCGATTTGGGTCTCTCTGTTCCTTACTCATGATTAGATTAATGCTGTGCAGTTTTGAAAGATTATAATGAGGTGCACTATCCTCAGCACATTATGCAAAGAGTATATATCGTGGTACTGTGATGATCCTTTGATTGAAGTGATGCTGTGGTTTAGGGAAAGCTTATGGATCTGAGAAGTTCATAGAGTGCTGACAGTTTGATCCCCAGTGTGGCATGTTGAGAGTGAGTAGAAGTTTTAAGAGGTGCAAGCCAGGGTGAGCCCATAAGCTCACTGGGCATCAATAATGGCAAAGACTGATGTAGGTTCAGAAATACTGGAAATTCCTGTTGGAGCCAGTATTTATGTTGAAAAAACAAAACAAAAAAACAAAGAAAAACAGCAGCCTGTGCTCAGTATGGTGACTGAGTGCTTGTAATCCTGTCTACCCAGGGTGAAGGGCAAAAGAGTTGAAAGGTTAAGGCCAGCCCATGTAGTTTAGCAAGACCTCATTTCAAAATAAGACCAGAAGAGGCTGGGGTGTAGTTCAGTGGTAGAGTACTTACTTACCTGGTATGTGACCTGGAGGGACAGAAACTCTGTCAACAAGCCAAGTCCTGAGTTCATTCTCTAGTTACACAGACACAGACACACACACACACACACACACACACAACCTCATGCATGAATCTTTCTTACTTCCTGTCTAGCCACGTGCTGTATGATCATTCCCTCTTACATACACCCGCACCACACCAGTCAAAAGACTTCCACCAGTGCCAGGTAGTTGCTAGTGCCATGGTCTTGGAATCCCAAACTGTGAGTTAAATTACTAAATATTTGGATGAAGAATCTGAGGCTACACAAGTGTCCTGTTTCTTCTTAAACTTTCCTAATTCAGCATTCATGGCTATATGCTGTGATTGTGTTCAATTGCTAATTTTCTGTTCCCAATATTCCTTCAGAATGCATTAGTTGAAATGCTTTTGTAGGGTCAAAATGGCTCATCTTCTCCACTGGTATACTAGTTTTACATATTTTTTGGAATGAAGAAAAAGTGTTCTATGGGGTGTGTGCCTGTGTGTTTGTGTCTGTGTATGTGTGTGTGTGTGTGGGGGGGGGGAAGTCCTGTAGTTGATGAATCAGTAGAAATTTAAACCCAGTATTTTACAATCAAGAGTGCATGTAACCTTTGTAACTCATCTGAGGTATTATTTTTGTGTGACTTTTAAATGGATCATAAAGTAAAAAGAAATGGCTAAATTGCATGCCATGTATATTTAAACTTTGTTTAACTTAGTATAATTAGAATTGATTGCATTTTGCTATTTTTAGTAATTTCCTGCCTCACCTAATTTGAAGACCTGTTAGAAGAACTTTCTGTCCCACAAGCTGCTGCCAAGTAACCACACAGTCTTAATATTAATTATAAATGCTTGACCAATAGCTCAGACCTATTACTAGCTAACTCTTACAACTTTAATTAACCCATTTATGTCTATCTATGCTTTGCTACGTGACTTATTATCTTTTCTCAGTGCAGCATGTCCCTCTTACTTCACTCTGCATTTGCTTATAACTCCTCTGCCTCTGCCCTTCTTCCCAGCATTCTGTTTGGCTCTCCCCTAACTTTATCCTGCCCAGCTGTTGACCAGTATCTTCTTAATTTAACCAATCACAGTGAACATATTTACACAGTGTAAAGGACTATCCTACAAAGATTTTAGGTGGTTGCTTTTGAATATCAGTCTTGTAGTTTGTTTTTTAGCTTGCTGGAGAAAAGGAATGAATTACTGTGGGTTGCTTGGGTATGTCTCTGTTTTTTTCTGCATGTTACTCATGGCAGCCTCTTTATGTGTGGTGGTTTATTGAATGATGATGATTTATAGGATAGTGATGTCATGTAAGTTATATTTTTTAAGTCATGTGTGGTGGTAGCACATGCCTTTATTCCCAGCACTCAGGGAGACCGTGGCAGGTGGATCTCTGTGAGTTCGAGGCCAGCCTGGTCTACAGAGTGAGTTACAGGATAGCCATAGATACACAGAGAAACCCTGTCTCGAAAAACCAACCCCCCCAAAAAAAAATTAAAAAAATTTTTTTTTAGACCTCTGTTGTCTCAATAGAAAATAACATATATTTTGCCCTTGAAATTAATGGCAAACCAGGAGTGCTTTTTCTTCTTATACAATTGTATCATGAAATATGTTAATTGTTTAATCAAATGGTGTAATCTAGTCTATACTCTACACAGGCAGTCTCATGTTTTGTTTTTTCTTTCATCTCTGTTAACTTTGATGACTTTTTTTTAAAGCAAAGAATTGATAATAAAATATATTTTAGAATACAATCAAATTTAACATAAAATTTCATAACTCTTGAGTTTAAAAATGTTTAAAAGGCAAATGGAAAATAGTTAAATTTAATATAATATGGTTGAATCACAAAAAAGAAAAAAATAATATTTTAATTAATATTTTAAAAAGCTTATTTATTTTGGTAGAAAAGCACTAATAGTTTAAATTTAAGAGATGGGCTCGGTGGTAACTGTACATACCTTTAATCCCAGCCCTCAGGATTTCTGTGACTTTGTATAAAGCAGTGGTGGCTCACACCATAAGGAATGCAAAGGCTGGGGTAAGCTAATCTCTGAGCTCCAGGTCAGCCTGGCCTACAGAGCTTTTCCAGGACAGTCAGGGCTACACAGAGAAACCCTGACTTGCAAAACAAAACAAAACAAGGATGGGCAAAAGGGAGTCTTAACAGACCTTTTTTTGATTTACATATGAATAACGTAAATTGTTATATTGCTTAGATATAGTACTAGTGAGGCATTGAAAGCAGTGTAGCTGCCCAATAGTAGAAAATAATTCTTATGTAGCAGTATGATGAGTGGGTTAGAAGGCAGCTTTGGAAAGGGTTTTAGAATGAATGTCAACTGCCCATGGTGTTAGATGTGAGCAATTGTTATCTGGCTGATAAAATGAAGGGTGCTTTTAGTGTTTTCTCTGAATTTCAGATTTTCCAGATTATCTCCATATATCACGTTTCTTTAGTAAACATGTTACTTTAAAGCAACATTTAAGAAAATGTTACTTTAAAATGCAGTCAAATACACTCAATAATTTTGTAACCAGTTCTCTGTTTCACTAACCCCTTGAGTCAGGCACATTCAAAGAATTAAATACCAGTACTTTATAAAGATTTCTTGCCTTTGTCTTCTTGATTTTGTATGCTAATCTTGGAGTTTTCATATTTTTGTAAAATATTGATGTCACCTGCACAGTTCTATATTTTCCTGCTGAATTTTTTAAATGAAATGGAATTCTAGATACATGTAGCTTCAAATTAAAATGTTTTACTCTTTATCTAATCAGAATAAGTATTTAGAATGTATTGATAGTATTTAAATATTCTATGATCTTTCAGTAACTTAATTTGGTAAAAAACTAAGTTGCTACTTAATAATTGTACTGTATTGTATTTAGCTTTTTACTTTTAAAACATTTTGTAGGCTAAGAATGAGGCCGAATGG